TATCAGATAATTCCCTATAGCATTTATTTACATTTTGAAGGCTGCTTTTCATATCAAACGATTTGACAGTTCACAACATTCTAAGACTAACCTTAACTAGATAATGTGATTTTCTTAGTCACCATGTCACCTCTGGCCTTAATACCTGGTATATTAAAATATTCCTGACATATAGTCTGCCCCTGCATAAAGCTACAGAGAAAAACTCAGTGTGCAAACAATGGCAAAATCCTTATTACTTCAATGGAGTATGATGTAGTATTCAATCAAACTACAGGAATGTCAGAAATACTAAAAAATACCTATGAACATCCTGAAATGCTGGAAATTGAAGAGGAAGGGATGATAATTAAATTTGGTATACTGACACCAATTTGACATTTTAAAATATCTCATCTGGGTCAAACGAAATTAATGTTTAATGCTTGTCAGTTTCACATTCAACTTACTAGTTCTACTTTTAATTAAGTGCATTATGTTCTACAGCAAATGTTTGTTGTTGGGTTTTTTTGGTATTTTGCTTTTTTCTGGTTTTTTTTTTTTTTTTGAAAGTCTGATAAAGTTAGAGGTGGGCCTTAGAGTGCTTAAGTTAGTTGAGTAAGGTTGAAAGAAAAAACTCAGAGAAAATGGATTAAATGGAATGAAATCAATGTTATCCATAGGTGGAATTAAATATAATATTACTATTTCTATAAAATTTCTTGGCTCTTTCAAATTGAGTATAAAAAACTCTTATTTTTTACTTTTAACCATTTGTGCTTCCAAAAGCTGCAATTTTAAATATGATGAACAAACAATTCTGAAATAATATTTTGTTCAATTCCAAAATTTCTCTGATCTTGTTCATTACACATGAACTGCTATCTTCAAGTGGTTGCACAGGGACATTCTACCAGGTTAAAAAAGTTGCAACTTCCAGCCAGTACTGGGTCAGGAATGAGAAAACAGATTGGTAATTTCACAGTCACCAGTTTCCTTTTATTGTTCTTGAACAGAACTTAAAATTCCTATCACATATCAAAATTCTACCAGCAGACTGGAGCTCATAGGTCAGTCAGAGCTATCATTCCACTCACTAGATGAAGTGGAAAGCTCAGTTTGCAGCAAAGACACTTCTTAAAATTCGTCAATTTATAAAGACACTTAAAGCATTCTACAATAGTTTATAAACTAACATTTTACCACAGTTTACAAACTAACATGTTACCACATTTTATAGACTAAAGTTATTCAAACATAACAAACAAAAGGCACTGAAAAAGCAAAGCCAATAGCAATTCTTTTGCATCCACACATCACTTTTGGGCATATATCATTAAACATCCTGGACATGATTTTCAGTAAGGTGTAATGATTTTCCATTAATAGGAAAATAAGCTCCTTTAGGTAAGGATTTTTCATTATGCTCTCCACCTACTTTGAGAAGTTAAACACTAGCAAATAGTGTAAAAAACTTGGAAGGGGGTAAATATTAGTGCCAATTATATGCTTAGATAAGTAAGAAGTGATTAGGGAATTATACAGTAAAGTCTATATCCAGTAAATTATCTTTTTAATGATCACTCTAACAAGTACTTAAGTGACTGTGATACACTAAGGAATGACCCATACCACTGCATAAGGGAAAGTTGAACATCCCTAATTTCGCAAATTTTGGACATGCCATAAGAAATAAAATTGAAGAAAAAATATTCTTTTAAAAAATCTTCATTAAAGTTCATTAGTAGCAGCTAAGGAAACACACTAGTCACACACAAAGAAAGAAAAATCCCAAAGCCCTGCCAGTGATCATTCTGAGAACAAGCAGAAATACACGTCCATTTCTTCACAGCAAAAGTTAACAGTGGCATGACATAAGATGAAACATAATAAATCAGGTTGTTTAAAATGTTTTGTAAGGACCTAACAAAAGTAAGTGATGAGGTTATAGAGCATTCAAATGTCAAACCCAGGTTATGATCCTGCAAATGCATCTTTGTAAACTAGCACCTATTGAAAAGCTGTAGCTCCACATAGCTGCAAGTTTCAGATGAAGGACATGGCGGTCTTGCATAAGTCTTTACAGAGCTTGGCCCTCATTTGATTTAATGAAAGAAATTTCAGAGCATAAGATTAAGGCTAAATGAATACAAGCTTCAATAGTAGAGTGAGAAAAAGAATTTTGTAAGTGAAACATGTGCCTCTTCATTCTGTCTACTGAATCGTTTACCAATTTGAAAAAAACCTAACTGTAAAGTGTACAATTCTCGATACTGACCGTAAGCAAACAGTTCTGTAATGTGGGAGCAGCTAGGGAAAGCACTGAGAGAAAAAAGAATCAGTCCTGAAGCAGGGAGAAAGAAGAAAGTTCTTCAGAAATGTAGATGAAATTATGGTTTGAGAACAAACAAGAAGGACTGGAGACTTGAAGATAAGCTTGGAAGTAATTGTATTACTAAAGATTCAAAATATTAATTAAAAATTATTTTTAAAATGTGTTTCTATTACTTGAATTTTCAGTTCTTAGCCTTCCTAAAGAAAACAATAGGGAACAGACACAGTTGCAACTCCTAAACAAAAAAGGGTACTTTACATTGCAATTCCCAGTCTAAAATTAAATCTGAATTATGCAATTCCACTGCTGAAAAAGTGAAGATTTTGGGGGTTAGCATTTAGAAATTATACTTTCAGAGACACTAGAGTCAAGTCCAAGTTAGAAAATATTCCCAAATCACAGCATCCAGTAATATACAGTGGAAGAAACAGGTCAGGTATTTATACATTTTACGAGTCTCTAAATAGGCTGAAACAAGGTTTTTAATTCCCTAATGACTGACTCTAATTAGGATGAAGAAGAAACGACTTGGAAATACCACAAAACTCCTTATAACTGGTACCTCCTGCCTAGACTCCCCTAAAACCATTACATTCATTTCTGTGATCCTATTTCAAAACCGTCTATTGAAAGTATGAGGAATTCAAAGACAGAAAAAAATCGGTGGTGGCCTGAAAAAAAAACTTATGAAGCTTGGGCAAATTAAATATTTATTTTAGAAGGCACAACAAAAAGGGGGGACAGTATATCATTAAGTGCGTACTGCAGAGAATTGCTGTCCCCTCACCTGCCACCCCATAAAAATATTGCTTGCCAAAATGCCCTGTCCTATCTACTGTCAAGAACAGGATCCTAGCCTAAGCAACAATACCTAGCTGGTTTTGTCACTTTCTGAAGGACAACATGTATTACAACACCTTTACTGTTTTCCTATCTTGCTGTAGGATGGACAGAAGCAACATTTTGTCTAGTAATTTTGGGGGACAGAATTGGGAGAAACGTATTCTTAGTGATTTTTTTTAACCTATCACGACTAGGGCTGCATTCATAGCTCCAGCAACTGTTATCTGAATTAAACAATTTAATGATTGAGATCACTAACTGAGACCGGTATGACAATTATCACAGTAATACATAGCATGATTCAGCCAAAAAAAAAAAAAAAAAGTAATTAGACAAGTAATGCTGTAACTGCGTGATGGTAAAAACTACCATTTTACCAAAGATCTATTCTGGCACATACTTCAGCACCAGATGATAAACTGGTGATAAAAATCATCTGATTTTTAAAACAGTTTGAAGGAATCTTGAGCTACAACAGCTAGACACATGCATTGCACAGGGAACAGTGATTTGAAAAGAAATTAATCTACATTCCTCAATACTCTCTTGACCCATCTTCACGCGAATACTGCAGAAAAAAGGCCTTTTAGGCAAGCAGTGTAAGACTGTCCCTGTCTACCCCAACAGGATTCATGCTTTAAGAAGTTATATGTACTGGAAAGTGTAGAACTAGAAGGAAGGACTAGAGATTCTTCTCAACAGCCTATTTGAGACTATGCAGTGAACACAGAGCCCCCACTCCCACCTGCTCCCCATGAAAGGCACATTTCTTTCACTTTGTCCTCTCTAACAAATACGGAACATTTATATATGTATACCGAAACAAAACAAAGCAAAACCCACTAAACCACACTTCACTGCACATGGCTCTCCACCTTGGGAAAAAAAAACAACCAACATATAACAGATATGCAGTCATATAGCTTTACACGCTACAGGAAAGCATTCAGATTAGTAGGACAAATGAAGGATAAGCTCCTATACAGAATAAAGTAAATTGCAGGTAGAAAAGGGCTAGATTTTAGTATTTTTTTTTAACCACTACAAACAGGGTTGTGGAGCCACAAAGAATTTTTTGGGAGAGGCATCACTGCAAATTTTATGTACACAAATAATAGATCAAAGTCAACTAATAAGTCCTTAGAAAGAGTAAGCAATCAGTAAAATAACATGCACATCATGTGGACTGGAAATATATTCCCTATTTCACTGGGGAAAACTATTGGGAATAGTTTTAATTTTTAATTAAGAAGAAGTACTATAACCCATTTATTAAATATGTTTTGAATGGCTCCATCGTGAATTAAGGTCAAAATACAATTTCTAAATTCTCACGCTGTGATGTAAGGTTGGCTTTATTGATCTTCAGCATGATTTGTAGGAGCCCCCAGTCATTATTTTGACAGTTTTATCATACAGTAATAGACTTCCTTTTAGATAATTACAGTTACCGCCTTCAATTTCAGTCTTTTGTAAGATTTTTCCTTACATAATCACACTTAGATCATGTTTCTTTCTTTAGTCAAACATATACAGTAAGCTTTGGATAACAGCCCTGATCATTTTAACACAATAATTTTAAGGCTTACCAAATAAGTTCAAGGGTTAATTATACAAGACAACTTTCATCTTTAAAATCTGTCACAAAATTTGTTTTATAGATAATGAGCATCTACTTCAGGGAAACAAAAAGAAGAATACACAGTGTTAACAGACCACAAAAGTTACCTAAGGTTGTTAAGTTGTACACGTCTTGTGTTTCAATTTACACCTTTTTCGCATCCTACCACCATGTCACTGCTGTCAACAGCCTTAATGTGTCTTCCTAATAACCTCCCCATAGGTTATAGGAGAATGCTCTTCAGCCCCCCATGAAATCATCTCTTCTCCCAGCTGGACAAGCACCAGTTCCTTCAGCCTCTTCTTGGAGGGCAAGTGCTCCAGCCCATTCACCATCCTGGTGACCCCTCAGTGAACTCTCCTCAGTCGATCAGCATCTCCCTTGCACACCTGTGGTTTAATACAGAAGCCCAGAGTTGTGTTGTTGACCTGCAACCATGAAGCAGCGTGACTGAGTAGGGCAGGGATGATATGTCTTCCCCTCCTGCCTGTGGATTCTACATACATTTTTTGCATGTTCTGGCCTACCTAATGTTTAACTATTCATTTAAAAATCAGAAGAGATCTCAGCTGGCAACATTATGCTTTGTTGACGTGCTTATTTTCTTGTGATTTTCAAATAGTGGGGTCCAATCTCCTTAGTCAAAGAAGTGATTAAACTCAAGTATTCCTTGCAGGCTTTATCATCTTTTGGAGAAAGGGACCCCAAAAAGAAAGAAAGAAAAAAGGAGCTTTACTTTAGCTAAAAGGTTGGAACACCTAACCTAAGGAGAGATTTCAGGGTCATGGATCCTACATGTAAAAAAAATAAAATTCCAAAAGTAGCCCTTACTAAATTTTCATTGGGTTTTAAATGCTATTTCAACTGCTTTTCAGTGTTTTCTTTGATGTTTTTCATTAGCTGCTTAAGACAATTCTGAGGGTGTCAAACATTTGGATCTTCCTTTCAGATGACTCTGCATTTTGTTGTATAGCCAGCTTTTCGACTGAGATGTCTCAGTAACAACCTTCAGGTACTGCATTCAGCACGCTTTTTAGCTTTTATATTTTTTGCCCAAGCAGAGACATTCGTAAGTAGAGCAAAGTTTAGTCATGCAATGCTTTTTTAGGTCCTTCAATGCAAAGGACATGCATGGATGGTGTAGTTGCAGGACAAAGTTGGTGTCAAGATGTTCCAGGGATTCAATGCTTGTGTGTTAGCAGAGTGCTGCATATATGCTAGGGGAATGTTTGAAGAGAAGTTTAAATTGGTTTGGTTTGCTTTTTTTTTAATAGGCTTATCTGCAGTGAGGGGAATTTTCAGAGAAGAAAGGAAGGCTCATTCCCACTGCTATTTGTAAGTTACACTGAAGTAGCAATATTTACATAGATGCTGGTGACCCTGCTATAGAAAGAATGCATCTCACACTAAAAGATGTTTACCTCCTCTAAGTTTGAAGACATCCACTTCTATAAATAGAAACAACTTACTGTAGCTGAGGGCCATGATCTAAAATCTGAGATGACACTGGTCAAGTAGCTCACTGATGTGCCATGCCCAACACCAAGCACGCTCCTTGTCTACCTAGGACACAGGCTTTCTCTAATATATTCTACAAAGAGAAGCTGGAATAGTCCAAAGAAAAGTAACTTTTAGGATCTGAAACCAAACAGCTTTTCTCAGCAATACTGGCTCAAGAAAAATTCCCTCCACCATCAATTTATCAGTGTAGTACTGTGGTTGCATTCATACAGAAATGGGAAAACTGAGCCTTGCTCTGTGTTACAGAAAAGCTACTGAATTTCCTCTGAAAAAGTGGACAACAGATTTACAAAGGTTAAAAAGAAAAATTGCCCTTCATTTTGTGTTCATCCATTTTTGCCCTTCTAGCTTAAAGAGGAAGCAGGGAATAAGTACATGTGGATTCAGAGGTGTCTAGCACTCATAAATCCATGTCTGTCAAGTGTAAGATGGAATCTCTCTGTCTTTGCTTTGACATGAGCTCTTCTATAGGACTGGGGCCAAGTTAATTAACCTGTTCATGGTTCAACTGTTTCATTTGTAAACTGGAAGTAGCATCTGGACCAAAACTGAAGCATGGCTAGTGAACAAGCTAGTATTTCAAGATCAAGAAGGTGGTGTGTAGTGATTAGAAACCTGGTCATGTCCGCATCATTCACTTCAGTTGTGCATGCTGATCAGAGTAAGTGGAAATTAAAACAAATATTTTCCCCACATACTAAAGAAAGACCAAGGATGCCGACTTCACTAAATTAACATCAGTATTCATGTTGAAAGTATACAGTAAAAGTGGTCACATGAAAACCATTCATTTGCACTGTAGCCTCAGCCTCTTGCTTCTGTAGCACTGTGCTTTTCTCATCCAAGAGTTAACTGGATGGTAAGAAGCTGCTCAAATATATCCAACACTGGAACTCTAGAACGAATTCGCGGTTTCTTCAGCAATTTTCACCTGTAAGAGAAGTTTGCGTTGAATACCAAGGTAAGAGACCTATTCTGTAACAGCATTCCTACATGACAAGACTATTAATACGACAGATTAAAAAAGCAGCTTGTTAACAGTCAATCTAATGGTGAATTAAAAATAGTTCTCCATTCCCAAAATGAGAACAAGTGAAATACTGACCAGCCGATCAAAAAACCTGGAGTGTACTCTAATTTCAGGGGCAGAATCCATTCTGGACACACAGAGGAATCTTTTGCTTCTGTTTTGAGAATTTGTTTACATTAATACAATAAATCTGCTTTGAAAGCTGTCCCTATACTACTGGCTTTCCATTCTCACCAAGCCAACTAAAGGAGCATAGATGTTTCCCAGTCAAGAAGAAGATACACAGTAATGAGGTATATATATATATATATATATATATATATATAAAAAAAAAATAAATATTTTTTTTATTACAGACAGGGAACCTCTACTTCTGGGAGCACAGCTGAAACATCTGGTATACTTCCTGTTCCTGCCTTTGTAAAAATATGCTGAATTATCAGTATGAATTCAAAGAAGGGAAGATGGAGAAATGGAAAAATTCAGAGTAACTTCAAATGTTTGCTTAGAAATACTATCATTGGTCAGTATTAATGTTAACACTTCCTAAGGACTCTGTGTTTAATATGTGTGCCAATATAAAGAAACTGTAATTTATGCAATTTAATGTTTTTGAGCAGTGAAATCAACTGTCAGTCATTAGAAAGCAAACTTAATGGACCACAGTCAGAAGTCACCCAACAAAATACTAATTGGCTTGAAGGAAAATCTCATCCATGTGGAAAAGCACTCTCAAAAAAGTATAACAGAACACTGCCAAGACCTACTGTGCACCTGTAATTTTTACTAGAAGGCATCCTACTGCTATTTAAGTTTTTGTGTATTCAGTAGACATGAAGTGAAGACTGTGTTCTATTCAAGTCTGTTTTTACAATTGGCAATATGTTGCATTTAGCATTTTCACAGCATGAAAGGCTAGTGATTGGCTCTGTTATATGTCTAGATTTCTTAGGCACACAGCAAATCCTCTTAAATGTGCTGCATTTTTACATAAATCCAGGCTACCAGCCTGAAACCAAAACCTTTCTTTCATGAATTCTGCATTAGAATACTCTGATAATTAGTCAACAGTAATACACTTCTGAAAAATGAAGCTTTTTCCTTCGGTATATAAATCAGGTAGCAAACACATTGTAATAGGGAAAAATGTGAAATAAGACTGTTTCAAATATGTATTTTACTTCTTGGAGATTGAAGCAATTTGAGATTCTTGTGTAAGGAGCTTCTTCAAGTTGAAAAGAACTTCTAAAAGCTAAGAATGAAAATTTTCTAGCATAGGTGATATGACTTCAATTTTATTTATGCTAAGGATTGTTGACACACAAGGAACTCACATTTAGGTAGTGTTCTCAGAGCAAATAGATTATTTATGTATGCTGTGTAAACACGCTAGACAATTTTTAAGTCAGACTTTTAAATAAGCATCTATTATGCATAGTTTCTAAAATTTAATTATTATAGTTACATAGTGCAATTTGTAATGCCACAGAATGCTGGTTTTAGAACCGTGTTCTAATTCTTGATTTCCATCTCTGCCTTTACTTGGCAAGTGGACTGCAGATGCGTTTTAGAAATGAAGAAGTGATGGATACTAGCACTGCTCTGCTCAACTTGATCACATAAACTGTACCTCATTGCTTTTTTTAAAAAAAAACAACATTCTGTAGAAAGTTGCTGATTCAATACTTAAGAGAAAGTAGAGGAAGGTGGGAGGATATTCTGACCTTATGTACATGTTGCCACTATGTTAACAATCAATAGCAGGCAGTCATACAGAAGAAGCTTGAGATTGTATTTTACATTATTTTCTAAGTGTAAATAAAAAGAGGGCAGAAAAGGTAAGATTAAAAAAATGTGTAAGTTTTTGCACTTTCTTCCTCTTTACAGAGTTGCAATTAAGAATTTCTATTCCTGTTAAACTCTTTTGCATTCTCCAGATCATTGGTAAAGATGTTAATTTTCCTCCAGTTCACAGATGACACCAAACGGGTGGCAGAGAAAGCAGACAACAGCAACCTGAGCTTTACTGAAGGGAGCAGAGCCAGTAGATTGAAGGAAGTGATTATCCCCTTTACTTAATGTTTATTAGACCGTACCTAGGATGCTGTTTTGCACCCCGGAATTCAGGAATTCAACACTTGGAATTCAATGTCTTAAAATGCATTCTAAGTATCCAAGTACAGAATTTATTTATTTTAATGACAACATCTATTTTATTTTTCTTTTTAGGATACAGAAAAAACTGTAATATATGATGTTATGTCTATAGGGTTTCATTATGCTTGTATAAGGCACACTCACCACTTGGCCCCACAGTTTTGTTTGGAGTTAATCTTCCATACATTGATAGAATTATCTGAGAGATTTAATAAGGCAATAGGCAGATGAATTATTACAGTGCTCAGTTGAATAATAAGTTTTGAACTTGGTTGAGTCAAAGGATACACAGGGAGAGCACATTTTTCAAATTGCTCAGCATCCCAATAGAACCTGAAGCTTGTCACAGTCTAAAAACTGGTACACAAGGCTCTCCTGCTCAAACCCAAGTAGTAAAACCACTAAAAGGGTATATTTTTTTTGTATCTAGAAACTGTATACTTTTCATTGGCAACATATGCAATGGTGATTACTCCAGCATAAATTGTCTTTGATGTACTTAAAAAAACAGTAAGTGGTATATAAGTCAATTCTAAGCACTATTACTTCATGTAAGAAAAATGCAGGTAACAGTATTTTTGACTGCAACAGCATTATACCGAATAAATAGTAAATTCAGTGTGATAGTACAGTAATCTCTACCCTAAGACCAAAGTTAATGGAAAATTAAACAAAAAGGCTATCAAATCAAGAATTTTGTTTCCTGGAATGGACGAAGACGAAGGCATATAGTGTACAATTTCCCACTATACTTAAAACTATTTGGGCAGAATTTAAGTCCACATTCCATATTTATTTTAAAAGGAGTACTAAAGGTATTATATTGTTAGTTACTCTGACTTTTGTAATGGCAAGCTCCCTTCCTAGCAGTATAGGCCAGTGGTGGAAAAATTCCTTCATTAGTATCGGTATCTTTATATAAAAACATTTTTTTTTTCTTTTAACAGATTTTGTTGCCAGTCTTGCAAAGTGAAATGGTAACTATCCCTGGTCAGTGATAATTCTGCTCCCATATTCCTTAGCCCACAGATTTACTTCTCTAGTTTCTGATTCTTCAGAAACAATCAAATACTCCTTTCTAAAACCTTTTCGCTTATGAAGATACACACACTGTAAACAGCTTTTGCCTGATACAGTAGGCTGTGTTTAAAAGCACAGCCAAAACATACTTTCTTTATATACCAAATTGACTACTGTAAAGTAGTTGTGTGTCTTTTTTAAATACAATTTGTATTACATGAGATCTTTTAACTTTTTGCATTGTGTAATTCTATGGTTTAAAGTCTATACACATGAGAGTCAAAGATAATACCAAAAAAGTAATCTGTATAATACAGCAGTATTCTGTATTTTAGTAAAGGTATGTTTTAGTAGAATGGAGTATTACTGGAGCAATAAGCTGTGTGTTTCTCCTTATCTCTCTCACCTATACATTTTTGTAGAAGCAAAACAATTTAGAACCATGAATTGATTAGTGAAAGTAATAGTACAGCTACAGTACTCTCCTCTCCCAGAGGGAAAGCTTTTTTTCCATTTTAAAGGGGAAAAATTAAAAATACAAAACCAAGACTGACTGAGACTTGCAGCTCATTAAAGCTGGGGTGATTTCCACTATACAGAATTCTATTGATCTCCATAGTCCACAGTAGACAAAAAAGTGTGGTCAGGGAGGGGATGATGGATGCCTCTGCCAATAGCACTGAACAAACCTGTTAGCTAATTGCTACCAAAGACAATTACCCCTGCATTGTTTCATAATGGAAACACATTACAAAACTCTAATATACACACAGGGAAATTTGATGATTTGACTGCGGAGCCATGTGCATTGAATCTCATTGCCAAAGGCCAGGCAGGTCGCTGCTGTGAGGGGGAAGAAAGTGTCAGAATAGAAGCCAGAGTTTCTCAAAGCCTGTTCCCCAAAATCAGTTAAGCAACTCCACTGTATTGTAACAACCCTGCAATTCCCCTACCACACCCGCAGCACCTGACAACATAAAGCATGTATCTTTTAAGGAAAATTAAAAATGAAAATGTACTCTGAATAGTATACTAGGATAGCATATATTTACTCAGTACAACAAAAAGCCAATGCTAAAACCGATTCTTCACAGTTTTGATCACTGTGAAAGATTTTTCATCATTCCACATTTAGATTACAAGTCATATAACAAATAGTGACAGCCATATAACAAATACTGATTTTGAAGTGTTTTATATTGCAAATTCACCCCCCAAATCAAGTGTTACAAATATACTTTTGAAAAAAAAAAAAAAATTAAAAATCTCAGATCACAACAAAACTGTCACTGAGTTAAGCAGCTATGAAATCTAAAAATGCTCCAAAATAAGGATTTATTTCATTATACCAAATTACAGTGTAATTCAATAACATAGCACTATATAAACGATTTGCCTTCTATTTTGCCAGCAACCACAATCTTGGAATGCCTCTTTCTAAATAGAATTCTAAATGTGCTTGTGCTCCTTCCTGGCATACTCGTATAAGACATTTAATTCTAGCAATGCAGTTGAATGAATTCTGATGTACAGTACACCTCAAAATTATACTCTGCTTGACTGTGCTGTATAAGATGATGCAAAACAAAACAGAAAAATGTATTTAAGATATGCCATCTTTATAAAGATAAATTAATAGTAAGAAAATTTATGATGAATCTATTAACTTCATAATTCACAAGTCAATGAATTCTGTTTTACTGTGCTTGATACTGCTCTATATTGGCCAGTCTACCTGCTTTAGATTTTGCTGACTACTATTTTGACAAGACCTGGATAGCAGTAGGTCCAAAGCAATCAGAAGGTTGACTTTGACAAATGGTGGTGCTGCGGCGAAGTTGAAAATAACACACATCCACTTTAATCTCTTTCTTGATTAAATCGAAACCATACCATTCTGACATCATGTGATTTGCTCATGAAGCATCACTGCAGGTTACTTTAGAGGCTACATCTATTGAAATGATATTGAATTTTTAGGGGAAGTACTTAAT